TTTTAGATACATAATATGTGGTAGGTTAAGAGATGCATCTTAGCATATTACAAAGAATGCTCCTCTCTTTTCAAAAGCAATTATCTAACAAAATTACTACTATTAGCTGTATATGGAAGTTGTTATAAAATCATGATTTATTTCTTTTATGAACGCACCAGAACTCCTAGAGCGTCCTTCAGGGAAGCCGCAGGAAGCACCGAAGGTGACCATAAAAAGCAAAGACACAGAAAGGCTGCCTCAAATGAGGCAGGAGACCAAAGAGGAAACAAGGAGCAACCCCATCTAAGAATGTCCTGCCAACTCAGAAGCTCCAAGCATCCACCGGGTGTCAACTTACCATTAATGACACTTTTAGAACTGCGCCATGAAACCAACCCGGGGAAGCATTGTCATCACGAGAGTTCACTTATTTATAACCTGTGCTCTCATAGTGGCAACCATACCTGATTTCATATGTAAGGATTTCAGATGGAGAGTGTTGATTAAAGGTCGCCATGGCGACCACACATTTGTGTCTCCATGGTGACACTCACAAATGGGAAAGACCCTTAACTTTAATTTTATTTAAAGTTCCAAAAGATGTTTTCTCCTCAGACTGCATAATATAACAAGGCTAAGCGGATCTGGCTCTCTACTGCACTTGTTCTTGGGAAAGCAAAGGGAGAAGGTGGTAAAGGGGAGGGAGAGGTGAGAACTCTTTAGACCAAATACGACGCGGATTCGTGTTTCTTGCCTGGAAAACAAATCAATGGCCTTTGATAAAGAATAATAACAGTGTCCAATAATTAAGCACCTCCTCTTTTACAGCTGTCTTCCTATTGAATCTTAATGGCAGATGTCTGTCCTACTTTACAGATAAGAAGACTGAGAAGCAGGGAACCGGTTGGCCTAAGGGTGTACCGCTAGGAAAGGACAGGACTAGGGAAAGACAAGGCTTTCTGACCCCAAAACTCCTACCACTCACTCAAGGGTCTGAGCCAAGCTGCCACTCACTCAGCTCAACTGAGACGGGAAGACCCCCGATGAGAAGTAAACTAAGTCCTAAACCTCAGCACCTGCTCTCCAGACAGAAATTCAGCGAGACTCTGTAAGTCATACCATTGCAGGGAGATGTGGGCAAATGAACAAAAATTGAAAGGAAAAAAAAATGGTATTGCTCTCAGAATACCCAGCAGGCCAAGAAGGTGACATGACAGTGACATATAAGAGAAAAGCCGAGAACTCTTGGGCGGGATTAAGAGCCTCTCCAACTTTGTAGACCAGGTTATGCAGAGAAGCTGAAAACAAAGTTCCTTGAGATAAAACCCGATTTTCCACTAACTTTATGTTTAAAGTATAGCTGCATGTGTGCTAAATCACTTCAGTCCTGTGCAACTCTGTGCGACCTCACAGGCTGTGCCCTCCAGGTACCTCTCTATGGGGATTCCCCAGGCAAGGATACCGGAGTGGGTTGCTCTTCCCTCCTCCAGGGGATCTTCCCAACCCAAAGATCAAAGCTGTGCCTCTTACCTCTCCTTACATCTCCTGCAATAGCAGGGAGGTTCTTTACCACTGAGCCACTTGGGAAGCCCCAAAGTACAGCTTTTTACCCCAAATATCCTTTGCTGTTCAGTGGAAGCCTTGAGGAGCCTCTTTAATCCCTCTGGGTGGAGGGCTGAGCTGAGTCCAAGAGCCCTGCTCTGTCCTCCTGTCTCCAAGAGGGTGGTCAGGCTGATCCAGGAAAGCCCTTCTGATCTGAGCATTTCCGTGTGACCACTGAATACATCACCTCAGAGCCCTGATGGCCTGCTCACGGTCCTGCTCATCTGGTCCCTTCTGACCCTTTTTGTGTGGGTGCTCAAGCCCCTCCCCCAGTCAGCCTTCATTGGGAAGGACGTGTCCCCTCAAGACTTCCCGTCTAGGGAACTATACCTGATGTATGTTCTATCCGACATACTCTGCAAGCTTCCTATTTTCTTAGAACATATTCATGTAAAAAGAAGGACATCTGGAGAACATGTTCCCATGTTTTCATAATACAAACTTTCACTCTGAAAATCCATCTACTGCATAAACAACCCTCGGGCGAGAAGTAGAAGCAACAAGGAAATGGCCAGTCCCCCTTCCTCACCGCCCCCACTCCCCTGACTTTAAGGTCACCTATTTTCTGGCCTCTGTAATGGGGCCAAGGAAATGTGAACAGTAAACAGGAAGAGGGTGCTGTGCATGCGGGCAGCCCCCAGAACAACCGCTGAGCAGAAGTGACAGAGTGTGGCCGGGGTGCAGGGGACAGCCCGGGGGCTGGTGGGGGGGAAGCTCTGTGGTCAGCAGGGGGAGTGAATACACAGCTGACTCAGCTTTAAAGGTTACTTTTCAGTAGCAAGTATTAATGTAACCAATACTGTGAAGGTTACTGCTCCTGTCAAAGCTGGTGAGGCTGTGAGTCTAGACATCTGAAACAAGGTGTATCCGGGGCCCCAGAGAAGCAGAACAAATAGGAATACAGATACAGACACAGATACACGTGATATAATACTCAGAGACAAGGGAGAGGGTGGTTTCAAGAACTGGCTTGTGCAGTCATGCGTTCACGGGACAAGCCTGGAGTCTGCAGGGCAGCCCGCAGCTCCCATGAGGGTGATGCTCCGGTCCAGGGGCCATGGCCCTTCTTCTCCAGGAAACCTCAGCATTTGATCTTCAGGTCTTCAACTGACAGATGAGGCTGCCCACGTCGTCAAGCATAATCTTCACTTAAAGTCAATTAAAGCCAAAGACATCAGCCATATCTGCAGACTATCTGAACTAGGTTTGTTTCTTTAATTTTTTATTTTATATTAGAATATAGCTGATTAGCAATGTTGTGCTAGTTTCAGTGACTGAAACTTCCAGTCAGCAGAGTGACTCAGTTATACATGTACATGTATTTATTCTTTTTCAACTTCTTTGCCCAACCAACCAACTGGGCACCACAGTCTAGTCAAGTTGATAGAGACCCAACCATCACACAAGAAGAAAAATGGTTTTCTTTAAAAGGAAAGTGCCCGAGATGGCAGGATGTCCCTGGGGCAGGGGTATGCCTGGGGACAGGGGAAGCAGCAGAGCAGGTGCGGGGGAGACATGCGACCGAGGGGGTTGATCCGCCACAGCCAGTCCAGGGGTCTCCCTTGTAAAGGTCACAGACAGGAAGCCACCAGCATCCAGGAGGTCAGCAGGCGTTTTGAGTGCATTTAATGGACAGTCACTTCAAATGGCCAAACAAAGCATCACCAAAGGAAAGCAGTGACCCCCTTGTGGGTTCCCACTGCCTATGACTCTCAGTCAAAACTAAGACCTTCAAGCCAAACAGTTTCCTATGCTCCATGACAATGTAGTGGCCTCTAATTTCTCCATCTCTTTCACTTTTTACCACAATGAAGAAGCCTCGAGCACCCAAGGAGCTTGTTTGGTGCAACTGTCAAGGCTGAGAAGGTCGCTGGGAAGATGGGTGTGTGGGGGCAGGCCTGGGAAGATGCACACAAACACATTAACACTTTAAAAACCCTTCTGCAAGAAACTTCATTCAGTCTGGGGTGAATTGAAATAGAAGTGACTGAAATACTAAGAGAAGAGCAGCATCACAGTAAGAATGCCTTTATTATCCCAAATTAGCTGCAAAAAACCCTTCAGAGACTTGACAGAGAGGTAAAAAAGAGATTTCTCACAGCATCACAGAACAGGAAAACCCCAGGATAAGAATACTCATACAATACAACTCTGTTTCATAACACAGTCACACAGGCTTTTAATACCCAGCAATTACAGCAAAGGAGAAGAATTAAAATTGCTGCAGGAAGCGAGGACGAAACATTGGAAAGAATTCACACAAACAGCGAAAGAGAAAAAGGAACTCTGGTTAAAGTCTTAGGAATCCCAGAGTCAGGAGGGCGACATAAGGAGGGCAGCTTGCACAGGACCCTTCTTGGCCCCTGGCTCACTCCATGCCCCACAGGGCCTTAAGTGACCAGGCTGCAAGAGCGGGCTCTTGAGAGCAACCACAGTCCCTGCCTTCAAACCTCTTAGCATCAAGCCAACGTCTTCTTTTTTCTGAGCAATCTTGTAGTTTGTATGGAGTAGTCTATCCTCCCCAGAAAACTGTGTGATTAAAAAAAAACAAAACCGACAGGAATGACATCTATGCAGCCTGACGTCAGTCAACTGACCCTGTCGTGTCATGTTCTAAGCAGCACACACTTGGGATGGCCAGTCCTGCTCACCATGGGTTCTCCACTGGATTCTCCTCAAGACCCCGGGGTGCGACAGGCAGCAGACACTGGGGCAGCCCGTGGGGATGGGAGAGAAAGGACATCCATGCAGCTGAGGACCAGATGTCTGGCATGCCAGCGGGTGACACGGATGTGCACACAGAGGTGCCGCGAGGGCACAGGAGCCCAGGGGAGGAAGGGAACACCTGACCAAGGGCCGGGAAGTTATCCTGGGGAGAAAAGGGGGAAACCCACCTCAACTGGGGTCTATGACGTGGGCCAATGTCATGCTGCGGGCACTTATGCTGGGACTTAAAAGGGAGCTGAGCTTCAGGCAGAAAAAGAGCATGTTCCAGGCAAAAGGGCAGGGCAAACATAGGCACAGACAGGGAAGGTGGGGCAGGCAGGATGTCAGCTCCATCTCAGGAGGACCCGGGGGTTCATCCCGCAGCCTCCGTTAGCCTCAGTGTCCAGCTCATAGACATTAGATCAGATCAGGACACATTACATCAAACGATGAGGACTCAAGGAAAAGTTCGCACACTGCCTGACATCCAGCTAGGCTATGTGCTTGCTTAAAAAATTAACAAAGATAAAAAATAAACCACATGACAACCTAACGGATCTTTTAATTAGCTGAGTTAGACTCCTCTGGCTCAACTTCATTTCCCCCACTCAGTATCCAATGGGCCCACTCTTCTCCAGGTACAACATTCAGACCAAGTGCCGTGTGAACCGTGGTGCCCGTGAATGTCACCACGGTTCACATGTTTTCAGATTCACAGCCGCCTCCCCTAGGGCCCCACCGTGAAGCTAGTGCACAGATGTCCCAGCACAGCCTCCAGACGCTGAGAAGTACTGGCTGTCACCACTGTCTGCTGGGCAGCCAGGAAAGAGGCGCAGAGATGCTGTGGTGCCTGCTGACCACTGGTCTCTCCCTGGAGGCAAAGATCTCCCTCCTGAAAAGTACTGACATGCTGCAGCAGAAACCTCTGCAAGGTGTGAATGAGGTCTCTGAGAGCTGAGATGCCTCCCAGGCTGGTGTCCAGACCTACACTTAGGAGGCTACCCTGGGGAGGAGCTGCGGTTCAGCAGGCATAAATCACCACATAGCTGCTGTAGGAATAACATGACAAGGGCTACAGGCATGTGCTGGCAGCCTCGCCAATTTCTTCATCTTACACGTGACTTCTGCAGTATTTTCCCCAAACCTGGGTGAAAAAACACAAACTTCACTAAATGATCTATTTACATGATTGAATAAAGGTAGATATTAGTCAGCCCATAAGTGTGTTTTAAAATAATAATAAGATAAGAGACCTGATGACCTGAAGAATACAGAGTGACCTGAAGAATACAAATTAAAGCCACTTTTTAATTTAAAATTTTTACACTTCCCACTGATTAAGAGCAACAATAAAAGCTCCTCTGATCCAACCCAAAGGCAGCCACGTGCTCATCATCTCTGAGCTCGGTTAACAGGTTCAGTGTGTATGAACCATGTTCCTGCAGGAAAAGTTGCCTACATAAAGACAGACAGATACACAGACACACAGTTGGGGATTTTGTAAACTACAACTTCCTGTGTAAACCTGCACTGATTTTCCTCTGACTATACGATGAGAGGTGTGATGAGGATGGATGGTGTCCTTGGCATATGCAAATACTACAGGCAGTTCAGGGACGAGATGGTTGGATGGCATCACCAACTTGATGGACATGAGTTCGAGTAAGCTCCGGGAGATGATGAAGGACAGGGAGGCCTGGCATGCTGCAGTCCATGGGGTTGCAAAGGGCTAGACGTAACTGAGCAACTGGACAACAACAGCAAATCTTCCTCAAAACATATAGACGGTGTCCTCCTCCTTCAACACCTCACTTAAAGGACAGTAAAGTAATGAAGGGTTGATAAACCAATAATGATGCACAGAAGGAGGGAGTGAGAGGTAGGTGAACTTAAAGGAGTTAGAAGCTACAGAGAGGAACTGACAGTACAGGACACTGGGAGCCATGGTTACAGGGCACTCAGGAGGGCCGTCCTCCAGGTCAGTCCCAGAGACTTGGTACACCAGGGTACCAGAGCCATGAAGGACAGCACCAAGGAAACGGTGCAACCAAACCAGAGAAGCAGAGGCAGAGGAGAGGGCTCTGGGCAGGAAAATGAGGAAATAACTGAAAGTTATTATATTGTAGGAAGGTATTGATTCCACATACATTGATTTCCAACCAGGTAAATACCTCCAAGCAAAAAAAAAAAAAAAAAAAGAAATCTAGAACTTTACCCTAAAACATCTGACCACTACAGAGGAAAGAACTAATCATTCTAGTATACAGAAGTCCCCAGTAAAACATTCTGTCACATCTAACATCCTAAATCAAACCCCATCAATTCACAAACACCACTGGTTTTTAGCACCTCACTTCTAAATTAAAAGGTCAGCCAAGGATCACCAACATAAAAGCCTTCATCTTGGAAAAAAAGGCCAGGATAAATAGGAAAAAATACAGTGGAGTATTCAGGAATAATCTGAATGCTCCAATCTGTACAATCATTATAAATGGTATCATATTCATAAAGCAAAGACAATGCTGTAAGTAGAAAAATTACAGAAAGATGAAACTTTTAGAGCCTAAAACACATGATAAATTAATAAAAAGAGTGGAGGATACATTAGGAAAACCTCCCCAAAATGAGAACTCTGTCTCCTAAGGACACAAATCTCTATTATCTATTGAGATAACAGACAAGAAGCATATAGAGAATTAGTCCAAGAGGGCCAAGATCCAACCAATAGAACTTTGGAAAAGAGAATGGGGAAAAACAAAGGGGAAGAAATTATCAATGTATTCTAGAGACTTTTCCAAAGATTAAAAGATACAATCTCCAGGTTTAAAATGCTCCCACATGCCTAGAGTAATAATAGGTGAGGAAGGACTTACACCTGTGGTACACCTAGGTACAACATTGTGAAATTCAGAATACCAAGAATGGGAGGACATTGTCTTAAAGAAGAAAAATCAACCACAGTGTAGAACAAAAGGCATCAGGCAGCCTCCTTGTCAATAACAGCAGATGCCAGTGACAATAAGAGATCCTCTCCAGACTCTGAGAGTTTCTACCTAGAGCTCTTTTCATAACTGCATACTGAGACCTAGAATAAATTATCAATATCTTCAGAAATGGAAGAAAGAAATCTTCAGAAATTTTTTCCTGCACTCACTACACCAAAAAGGTATTAGAGGAGGGGCTGGCGCATTCAAAGGATCAACCAAGGATAAAATCTCAGGATCTAGGAAGCAGTAAAACTAAACCAAGGAAGCAATGAAAGAAAGTCCCAGGACACCAGCCCAGCAGCAGGCCTGGAAAGAGTGATGTCCAGATGGAGGAGGGAGACCCTTTGTCTGGGGCTGGGGATGTCTCTAGGGACAGATTGACCATCTGATTAGACAGACTGGGCAAAGTTGGTTACAGCTGAAAATGTAATAAAGGAAAAGGCCAACACAAAAGTAAAAGCAATTATAAACTCCAGGAAAAGCAAAAGGATGTACAAGAAAGAAAACCTTTGGCTCTGCAATGAGTAATATTTGCATAGTCACAACAATAAATTATATACCATTTTCCTACTTAAATATTTAACCCATAGAGATGAATGGATGAGATATTTATGGTTTCAGAACAAAATTTAAATGTTATGACTCTTGATATTTTAAAAGTAAGAAAAGAAATGACAGAAGTTAAGAGAAGAAGGAGAGCCGAAGGGTAAGGGAGCAGTGTCAGGATGTGCCATCCTTACAGCCCCACAGAACCTCCCTCGCCACCAAAAGGGCCCCACACGTGGGGTAACGTGCTTTGTCATCATCGTGATATTCATAATACTTTAAACAAGGGGCTCTGCAACTTGTCCTGGGGCTGAGTGCACAGTTAGAAGTTGACAAACTCCCTGTACTTAATGCAGCAAGAAATCAAGCTCTACTTATGCTCCTTAAAGCAACAAAGTAACCTAGCAATGAAGGGACTCAAAATGTGGATGACTATCTCGAGATACTGGGAGAAACGCTGATGAGGATATGTAAATCCTTAACTATCCCATCAAAAGAGAGAAATAACAGTGTAAATCAATATTTAGGGACTGACAATAACAGAAGAAACAGCTGAAAGAGAAAAAAATAGTTGAGCCTGAGTAAAGGGATGAAGGATGAGGAAGGGTGAACCCAGAGACCACTGCTTCTTTTTGTAGTTCCCAGTATGATCTACCAGGGGAGAACTAATAGATTCAAGGGATTAAATCTGATAGACAGAGTGCCTGAACAACTGTGGATGGAGGTTCGTGACACTGTACAGGAGGCAGTGACCAAGACCATCCCCAAGAAAAAGAAATGCAAAAAGGCAAAATGGCTGTCTGAGGAGGCTTTACAAATAGCTGAGAAAAGAAGTGAAGTGAAAGGCAAAGAAGAATAGGAAAGATATATCCATCTGAATGCAGAGTTCCAAAGCATAGCAAGGAGAGATAAGAAAACCTTTCTAAGTGAGCAACGCAAAGAAAGAGAGGAAAACAATAGAATGGGCAAGACTAGAGATCTCTTCAAGAAAAGCAGAGATACCAAGGGAACATTTCACGCAAACTTGGGCACAATAAAGGACAGAAATGATATGGACCTAACAGAAGCAGAAGATATTAAGAAGAAGTGGCAAAAATACACAGAAGAACTATACAAAACAGATCTTCACGACCCAGATAACCACGATGGTGTGATCACTCACCTAGAGCCAGACATCCTGGGATGTGAAGTCAAGAGAACCTTAGGAAGCATCACTATGAACAAAGCTAGTGGAAGTGATGGAATATCCAGCTGAGCTATTTCAAATCCTAAAAGATGATGTTGTGAAAGTGCTGCACTCAATATGCCAGCAAAATTGGAAAACTCAGTAGTGACCATAGGACTGGAAAAGGTCAGTTTTCATGCCAATCCCAAAGAAAGGTAATGCCAAAGAATGTTCAAACTACTGCACTATTGTACTCATCTCACACACTAGCAAAGTAATGCTCAAAATTCTCCAAGCTATGCTTCAATAGTACATGAACCAAGAACTTTCAGATTTTCAATCTGGATTTAGAAAAGGCAGAGAAATCAGAGATCAAATTGCCAACATTGTTGGATCACAGAAAAAGCAAGAGAGTTCCTGAAAAACATCTACTTCTGCTTTATTGACTATGTCAAAGCCTTTGCTGTGTGGATCACAACAAACTGCAGAAAATTCTTCAAGAGATGGGAATACCAGATCACCTTATCTGCCACCTGAGAAATCAGTATACAGATCAAGAAGCAACAGTAAGAACCAGACATGGAACAATGGAATGGTTCCAAATTGGGAAAGGAGTACGTCAAGGCTGTATACTGTCACCCTGCTAATTTAACTTATATGCAGAGTACATCATGCAAAATGCCAGGCTGGATGAAGCACAAGCTGGAAGCAATATTTCCAGGTGAAATATCAATAACTTCAGATATGCAGATGACACCACCCTTAAGGTGGAAATAAAGAGCCTCTTGATGAAGGTTCAGTTCAGTTCAATCACTCAGTCGTCTCTGACTCTTTGCAACCCCATGAATCGCAGCACACCAGGCCTCCCTGTCCACCACCAGCTCCCAGAGTTTACTCAAACTCATGCCCATTGAGTCGGTGATGCTATACAGCCATATCATCCTCTGTCGTCCCCTTCTCCTCCTGCCCCCAATCCCTCCCAGCATCAGGGTCTTTTCCAATGAGTCAACTCTTCACATGAGGTGGCCGAAGTATTGGAGTTTCAGCTTCAGCATCAGTCCTTCTAATGAACACCCAGGACTGATCTCCTTTAGGATGGACTGGTTGGATCTCCTTGCAGTCCAAGGGACTCTCAAGAGTCTTCTCCAGCACCATTATGGTGGAACTAAAGAGCCTCCTGATGAAGGTAAGAGAGTGAAAAAGCTGGCTTAAAACCCAACATTCAAAGAACAAAGATTATGGCAACCGATCCTATCACTT